GCGGGAGCGCCACTACGCTCACAAGTGGTGCACTGTAGCAGTGCGCCACCGGGCCGGCCCAGGGTTGGTGCCTTCTGAGGGCCTCTCTCTTGGCTTGCAGATGAGCTCTGTGTCCCTATGTATGCACATGGTCTTCCCTCTGCGCATGTCTGTATCCTAATATCCTTTTCTTGAAAGCAGGCCACAGACATTGAGCCTCTATTTACATTAGTTACTTTTTTAAGGCCTTGATCTTTAAATACAGCTGTATTTTTAGGTATTGGTGGTTAGGACTTCACCATGTATATTTTGCAGGACACAACTCAGTTCATAACAATGTATATTAATTGTGTGTCTTTAAGCTTGGTTGTTCAATGCCCTTCTCACTACTAGAAGTAAGGATCCATGGGAACAAGAACACTGACTGCCTTGCTCACCATTAGTTGTCCAAGGCCCAGGACTACACTCTGCTTACCATAGGTTCTCTACAACTATTTGCTGCATGTGTGAGCAATGGTCTGAATGAATAAATTAGGGGAGTTGACCTCCAAAACATTTCTGAAGGATATAATTTTAACAATGAAAGAAGAGTTTGTGATTTTTTTACCTATCATGTTACAACAATTATATGCTGCAGGATGTGTCAAACCCAGGGATGAATTGAACTCAGGGTAAGGACCAATTAAATAAAGACCAGCAGGGCTCCCAGAGGTGGGGAGATGGCCTAAAGAGCTGTATCTTGCAGGAAGGAAGTACTCGCCCTGATTAATACTGGTGGCCAGATGGTGATAAGCTACAGCCCTGCAATTAACAGGGCTGCTCCCCAAATATTATCCTTTTTCATATAAGCCATTTGTAGCTAGCCACCATCTGCACTTCAAGTAAACATGATGGGTCTGTGAACTTCATCCTCTGCTTCAATTAAGTTGTCATTAATGCCACCGTGTTTTAGCTAAGATAATGTTGATGAGGAAATCCCATTAGCAAGGGCAAATAAATAGATATCCATGGGCCATGACTGTTACACCAAGCTGTCTGGTTGAGTTGAATTAGAGTTTCAGAAGAAAGAAATATGATAAAGCACTTTGTTTCACTGGAAGCTGAGAAAGCAATTGCCTGAACTTCAGGATATCAAGCAGAGGCTGAGAATGTTTACTAAAATAGTGATCTCTTGCACATCTACAGTTTTTTTTTTTTTAAGGCTTGAATAATGATGAAGGAAACATTTTATTTCTTAACTTACTCTTCTTTTTCTACCTCTTACTCAATCGAAAAACTGAGTTAGCAGACTTTTATTATTTCAGCAGAATACCA